TGGATGGATGGATGGATGGGTAGGCAAAGTGCAATTAGCGCTGCACGCCTTCACGGATGCGTGTACGGATAGGTTGTGAAGGAGGGAAGGGATGGAGAGGTGAGGTGCATCAGCAAGGAGTGAAGTGGGTGTCACTAATCTGTTGACTATTTTCATTGTTGGTGGCGGTGTAGTTGGTGTTTCTGGAGAATTATCGAGTGTCGTTGGCTGAGAAGATTTTTCCCGCGGCAGACCTGTCGCAGCAGATCTCCACTGCCGGTACTGAAGCGTCGGGTACTGGAAACATGAAATTTATGGTAAGTTTAGATATTCGTCCCTTCACTTTCTCCTCCTCTCTTTATTAGTGAATAAATGAGCAAAAGTAAATGTCATCGTGCTCCACACCTTTTCTTTCTAACAATCTGTTGGTTGATATTAATTCGGCAAGCAGCCATAGGCACCATACATCAACCCTTACCTGTCTGTTCATTTTTCACTATTCATTTTACCATTTCACTGAGCAAAATTTGAGTCGGTCTTTTATGTGAAGCGTTCGTGAAGCCATGGAAGACTACGACTTTTCATTGTATTGCGATATTCGGTCTGAAACAATGCACCAATGATAGCTGCTAGTAAACCATCTCTGTTTATGTGCCTGCATTGTGAGGAAGACATTTGCGTCACTCTATCTTTGGTATTCTGGCCTTGATTCCGCTAGGTTCGGACTATGTTGAACCGACATCAAATTTTGTTTGAAGCTGATGTGCTTGCAGCTTGTTTACACCATAAGTGGAGGTCAAATCGATTTGACAATGTGCTGTGCGACATTTGAACAGGGTTTCACGTAGGAACAGTTACAAACAGAAAATTCATTACGCTATCTTCTCGATGAAAACAAAACATTCGTCACGAAATGAGGGTCCGAAAGGAGATAGAAGTCAAAAGCATAGTTATAGTGCATATTTTGAAAGGCAGTTCGCAAATTAACTTTGCTAGACCAATCAATTTGTCTTTGTTGTGTTTTATCGCCGAACACTGGTGGACCGCATGAAATTCCACACCACACTTGATATTAACTGTGCAGCAAACACTCTCTATGCTTCTTAATTCCTCAGGCTCTCAGTGCTACCTTTTCATGACAATAAACAATCTATGGAGCACAAAAGTGAAAGTGCTGTGGCAGGCGACTGGAATGTACTTTCTGCTGGCTGACGTAGTAGCTCTGATTGAATCAGGAAGTTTCAATAATCTTGCCTTTATAGAAAGGATGATAAATTGTACCCACTTTGGCACTGCTTTGTTAATCAAATGAAGGCTCTGATAAACCATTTTGTTATCTAGTAAACTCGGACATCAATTCCTAATCTTAATATGCCGTAAACTACTTCTCTTCAGCATCAGGCGTACTGCCTTTAGGTAAACGGAGCGCTGACCTTGGGCACACTGGACGGAGCTAACATTGAGATGTCCGAGGAGTGCGGAAAGGAGAATATGTTCATCTTTGGTATGACTGTACATGAGGTAGAGGAACTCAGTCGCAAAGGGTAGGTCACTCTCTCCATCGAGAACAGTCTCTCAACCTCAAACTATACTTTTCACTTTGCCTGAGTAGCTAAACTAACATCATTTTCCTCCCATGAACCGGTCCAGCATTACCTCTATTTGCTCATTTTCCAAAGCTTTCCCGCATTTGCGTGCTCTAAAGGACCTATGAGGCCTTAAAGAATGCCACATGATTAGGTCAACTTCACTGCTCCTGGTTGGAAATGAGGAGAAAAAAGAGATGAAAAGTGAGTGTTATATTCTAGTCCATAAGTCGCAGCCACAAAGTAAGCATAACTGGTTGGAGGGAGAAGTGATGCCAGACGTAGGTGTGTACGACTGTGCGGCAACAAGGAATTTGTCGATGCCCATTGGGAGTTAGTCACTCCATTTGCAAGCATTGGAGCGCAGAGCCCATTTTTCATCAAAAGTCGACCCGCAATCGCTTCCCGAATTGCCCATAACGAAGCGCAGCATGCGAGGCTTTCATGATTAACGTTGGGCAAATCCGCTTGGCTCTCGTTTAAAGCTGGCGCATTTGATTTTTCTTATCACCCGCAACGAAAACGATTAAGTAAACCAATCAGGTTAATTTTAAAGTGATCTGCAAATATTGGAGCATCCTTCCTCACCTCCCTCACTTAAAGTTTCATTGTTTATGGTCCTTCTGAGTGGTGATTTTTGTTGCGCATTTTCGCCAAATATTAACAAAATTTCACAGACCAACCTACATCACATCGGCCATGTGCATCGCATTGGAAGACCAATGAATGCAAAACAGTTGCATGTATTTTTCCCAGTACACACATAACACCAGCAGTCTACTGACATCCGCACATGATATAACCGACTAGTAGACGGTCTTTTGTAATCTCATGATGTTGATGTTGTCATCAAGTTGCTTTATCAATGTGTCATTCCTAATGTGATGATTTAGTTGTAGCATTCCTTTAGTCTGCATGCCTTTGCAAAGAATGTGATCAATTTCATAACTAGTTCACATCTCACTTGCTTCATCCCGTGCCTCAAGATACGACTCGCAGAAGTACATCAACGCTTGCCCAGAACTCAAGTTAATTCTGTCGCAAATCGAACAAGGATATTTCTCACCTGAAGAGCCAGACCTCTTCAAGGATATCTACAAAACCATGATGTTCGGTGATCGCTTCATGCTCTGTGCTGACTTTGCTGACTACATGAGAGCTCAGGCTGAGGTTGATAAGGCCTATAGGGTGAGTTGAATCGTTCTGTTTTCTCATTCTAGTTCGTGTAATTTCGAAGCTAAAGTGGTACGCAGTTTTTAACTGAACCCATGGAACCAATGGTGGCATCCGTTGACAAGAAACTTGTTATTAGACGAATTTGACACAACCCAAGCTAAAGACGAATCTGTGCATGACGGTTTCAGGAAAAAGCCTTTAAGTTCCGAAAAGTTTTTACACATTCAGAATACATAATCACAGACAGTTGCAGTGGGGATTTGATTTACAGATAGAGAAATAGACGAAGGAGAGGATTTAGTTGTGTGAATGTGACTGCGCTGAGCCTATGCTCTCAGCTACATTCTTATTTCCGTTGTTCAATCAAGGGGTAAACATAGACAGGGGAGAGGGTACCCAAGATATGTTAAAGGGCTCAAGAGGAGGAATGCAAGAAAACAATGAAAGAATGTAGCAGACGCCTTTCTTGGATTGTTAAATAACTGAACATTTACTTTTTATTTTGGCTTTGCAGAACGAAAAACGATGGGCACAAATGATGCTCGCAAACATCGCAGGATCTTGGAAATTCTCCTCCGATCGGACCATCCGCGAGTACGCTCGTGACATTTGGGGCGTGGAGCCGCGAGAGGAAAAGATGCCCGCTCCCTTTGAAAACCCTGAAGATCCTACCGCTTCTTTCAACAAGTAAATCCTCACTAACACATTTAGAAGCCTTGTTCGCCACTCCCGAAGCTGATCACCGCGCTATGTCATCTCTCCTCAGTTTATCTCGTCTCTTTCGCTCCTATCCAATCCTTTTTGAAGTTGTCCATAGGGAATTCCTCTCATCGACAACTGGCTCCTCATGTCTGAAGATTGTGTCTCTGTTTCCTGCGGAAGCATTAAAAATCAAATAAATTCCTTCCATATTTTGATTAAAACGTGTGAAGAGAAAGTTGGTCGCTCGATCAAAACAGAAAAAATGCAGCGATTGGTCGCCAAGATTGTGCCCAACAAAAAACAACAGATGCCGTTACATGTCGACTTCGTAAGAGGAAAACCAGTGACAATAGATGAAATCCTTTTTATTATACACTAATGCTCCTTGAAATAAAAGCAAAAATTCTGGCTTCCTTCATTGTTACTATAATTTTGCACCGTGATTAACCGCAAAAAATTTCATGCACTTCAATGACCGCTGTTGGTCCAGATCAGTACCAAACACCGATTAAACTATTATCAGGGGAGTAGAGATGGGATAGACGAAGAATGGTGACATCGGTTTGCCGCATTCCTAAAGCGCTGCAATAGATGATATGAGCAAGGCGAACACAAGGATTCATCAACATATTCTTGGTGGTAAAATAGGGTTAAAGAAAGAATTGCCTTTATGTTCCGTAGCCCAAGTAGATCTCCCTTAGCGAGAAAAGCCGATTAAGGAATTTGCCTTGTTATCGAACGAAGCCACACAAATTTTGAAATACGGAGCTCATACCTGGTCTCAGGTCATCGAGTCATTTAGCCAGTATGCATAAGCCCTCATCCATTGACACGAGGTGGAAGGTGGGTCTCGAACGACTGTGTAGTCTTGCACTCCACTGCTTATGGACGAAGTGGTCACGCGACTTAGCTACTCCTGCCCTTCACCATCCCCTTCTTCCCTCGCTTGAGGTACGACCGAATCGAGAGCAGGCAAAACTGGTTGCACATTCGCATTCGCACATGGATCTCCAACCACTCTCACTGCTTCCAGGTAGGACAGGCAATTATGTGACCATAATCGTCGGTGTGGAACCTCCTCCACGTGGCGACCAATGACCAGACTCGCCTTGTGCACACGTTTCACGTCTGGACCGTGCATTTTGCCACAGTGCACTCCATCTTTTCCACATTGCACGTCAAGGGACTCGCGTAGGCAAGTTGGAGGTGCACTTACCCAAGCAATATGGGAAATGGAGGCGAGTGTAGCAACCAACACTGTAGCGGTGATTTACTGACTCACAGCTAAGTTCCACGCTCCGTTGTTGTATTAATTGCCTTTGCCCAGAACTGTTGAACATCAAATTTTGTATGCCTTATTTCCTTCATCTTCATTTTTCCATAGCATTTTCTTCAACCTTCTTCTACAGCCTTCGATTCTTAACTGCGTTCCTGTAGTCATCGACACCTCCACCCCTGATGTCTAAAGAGGTGGTCTTTCCCGCTTGACTGCAGTTCTTCTGTTTGCCTTCGTCGGCCGCATTACCCGCAAGAATGTTTCGTTGACCGAGTTCACCTTATACTCCTGCCAATAAGTAGTTGCCTTGCGACAGCTTTCTCTTGTTAAATGTGTTTTTTTAGTCTATACAAGTAATCGCATCTTGCAGCCGAAAATTACGACAAAGCTTGGTCTCATCTTAACTATGCTAGCATGCTGGAAGTAAATATTTATAGTCTCAAAAAGGGTGACAAGTCAACTCTTTCTCTATGCATTTCACGAAACAAATATAAAGGAGGCAATCAAGAAATTTAGACAGTAATTTTAACCATAAAAATTGCAAGACTTTGTTACCTTAAGTTAAAAGATATAAAACTGTCACAAACAGTAACCCCCAAAGGATAGCCGGAAGGTGCGTGATGCCCGAATGTGGATCGTTTGCACCCGAGCAATGCAATGACGGTTTTGACATGAACTGGTTGACTACAAAAGCTTTTCATAACACATTTTGCCGTTCGTTATTTTGCTGGCCAAAACCATTGTTTGCACCTATAATAACTAAGGTGGGCAAGTGAAGATTCACATGCGCTGCGAAAATAATAAAGAGGTAGAAAAATGGACTTGAAGACTATTCATTTTGTCCTCACCCTTTTCATTTCACTACAAAGCAATGGTATTCTAGATTTTGCTGATTAAAAGACTGATCAAATAACCAAGTCATTGTTTACTTCACAATGGATCGTAAACTGTGCCAACGTCGCCCCTTCATTCCGGGGGGCAGCACGCACTTTATGTGCTTGTGATTGGTAAAATGTGGGTGGAATAGGTCACGAGAAATTCCGCTCCCGAATGCCAACCACTGTCTAAAGCTACGACTAGCCTATCCCTCCCGAAGCGTACAGGAGACTCTTCGTGATTGTTCACTCTTCTTCAGCAGCAATCAAAACCATCAATGCAGCAAACAAATGCCCTTTTCATACACAGCTCCACTAAATTTCCTATCAAATTATGTTGTTAAGCCGTCCTTGTGCTGAAAATCAAGGATGTCAGAGAGGCAAATTCTATCTTATTCTCACAGCCTCTGTACCATTTTTGATTGCCACCCTCTTCGTGATATTTACTAACCACAGAATAATGTGGGAAATACATCAGTGAGAAGCGTTGTAAAAATGACTGTCCTTCTCCAGGAGCACAAACTTGCGTAAAAATGAACTTTACATCAACTCTTTAAATTATTCGAAAAGAGGTGTACTATAAACCGCGATAACATCATCAAAAATTCCTTACTTGTTACTGCCATTTCGGCGCTAAGTGGAATGCCTTTACAGGTGCTCTGAGCTCTGTTAAGTGATTTTGGGATCTCTTCAAAGTAGCTCAAACGAATGGGTACGGTTGGGCCACCTGTCATTCGTTCCCCATCGCCCATCTCTACTACTAACTCTTGAGCTGTTTTCTTTATCACCTCAACATCTGCCGCCTTTAGCAATCCGAGCTCAGATTTTGTGGCTAAACTAGACACCACGACTTACCTTGTAAGTTCCTTTCCATAAACATTTATAAATGATTCTTCATCTTACCACATTAATTGTTTATCTGATGTTACACCGGATGCCAACACCCGACTAAGCATAAGGACCTGCAAAATGTGATTAACAACTTCACTAGTTGGATCTCGGTCTGTAGGGTGGGAGAAGAGCTAATTCACTCAGTCGACCAGCAATCCACAACGTAGACTTTGAAATTGAAAAACAGAGCAGTGACAGCACGTCTTAGACTTTCGCCCCATTTGTGGACTTTACACAGACAGTCGCAATGAGGCTTTCCGCTATTGGTTTTCTTCATGCTCTCTTCGGTTAGTACAATAAACCCCATCCCAGATGAACGACCAGAACGCATTTATCCTAATCAGTGCTCTTTTTCACAGCTCAAATTCCTAAGTTGATCATATTTTTGAAAATGAAAAGGCCAGAAGCGAGAGAAATAGAGCAATTTTCACTCCTTTTACAAGTTATGCTACTGATCGCCGGACGCCATTCTAATTATCTGGCTTTAAGAAAAGGATTGACGTAGCTATTTTAACTGCAAGCTGAGTAAACCATTCCAAGGTCCAAAATCTTGTCCATCTGTCCAGAAGGATAAGTTACCTCCCACGTATTCACCTAAGAAGCATGGATGTTTAGACATTAGCTCATGAAAGATGTAAGCAGTTTTTTGCTAGGAAGGAATGATTTGTTGCACGTCACGCGGAGTACCGACAGAGTATATTCTCCGAGCATAAACAAGGTGAAATCGAGTGCGGTAGCACGTAGCTTAGGAATCAACCACACAATACGAACGAACACTAGTGAAATTGGACTCTAACCAACAAACGAGACAATGTGAGAAAACAACTCCGGGTCCGTGGTTACGAACGTATTGTTTGTGATGCATGCGGGCATATGCATTTATCTATATGACATCGAACAAGCAGACCTGTACACGGAGAAGAAAGGGAGATCTTTAAATCAACGACAAATGCATAATTTGCGAGCTTGGCTCCATTTCTGAGGTTCCAGACACTTGGCATGCTTTTCGAATTCATCCAGACGTCGAAGATTCTCAAGACTGGGAGGGCGAAAAATACCGCTACTAGCATCTCGATAGAGGAGGACCTCAAAATGCGCTTGCTTGGGTCTTACACGGAGGTGGAGACGCAGTGCTGATGTGGTTGGACGTGCATCTGGCATGTCAAAGAGAGGTATTTGCCCATCGCGATCAGCTGTGCCCCTGAAACTAACTACTTCGTCTGGAAGGCGAGAGACCTCGGCTGAAACTATCTAAAAAGAGATTTTATATCACAAAAATATGCCTCTTTGTTTGGATTTCTGCAGTGGATGAAAGGAATGGAGGTCTATTTTAAGCCCTCTGTGCCAAAAAAAACGACCTGAAAATGAACTTTATGTAGATCGAGCTGATGGCTTCTATGGTTTTTAAGAAGTTTGAAATCTGAGAGCGTGGAACTTAGCTGTGAGTCAGTAAATCACCGCTACAGTGTTGGTTGCTACACTCGCCCCCATTTCCCATTTTGCCTACACGAGTCCCTTGACGTGCAATGTGGAAAAGATGGAGTGCACTGTGGCAAAATGCACGGTCCAGACGTGAAACGTGTGCACAAGGCGAGTCTGGTCATTGGTCGCCACGTGGAGGAGGTTCCACACCGACGATTATGGTCACATAATTGCCTGTCCTACCTGGAAGCAGTGAGAGTGGTTGGAGATCCATGTGCGAATGCGAATGTGCAACCAGTTTTGCCTGCTCTCGATTCGGTCGTACCTCAAGCGAGGGAAGAAGGGGATGGTGAAGGGCAGGAGTAGCTAAGTCGCGTGACCACTTCGTCCATAAGCAGTGGAGTGCAAGACTACACAGTCGTTCGAGACCCACCTTCCACCTCTTGTCAACGGATGAGGGCTTGTGCATACTAATATGGTGGTGATGTACCATGAATTTCGATTTTAAGTTTGGTTGCGCTAACAATCGTCTCTCATCGAACATCTTGGCATTCATAACACAGTACTTCATAACCTTATTCCCAGATTAAGATTCTTTATTAAATAGGAATTGGTGTAATTCGGAAAAAACCTTTGAACAAGCCGTTTAAAGGTGAGTTCTTCACATAAAAGACGATGCAGATTCTCCTGCTTCGTATCAACGTAAAGAATTTGCCTTAGAGTGACGTCTTTCCTCCCCTTGACACGCCTCTTAAATTCATTCAATTTCCAAGAACTGTCTACCATTGCCTCACATTAAACGCAAGACATTCGGTAAGTAGGCTGTAGAGAGGGAAGCGCCCAGTCATTATTTATCTTAACACACTTTGAACTTTCTAGAAACTGTGGTCTTTGCATAATTGTGCGCAGTTTGGGGAGGATTTCGGACTGTGTTGGCAGAACAATTAGAATGAACGCTGAAACCATAAAAGTGGTGGTAGAACCACTTCTCGAAAGGCTATGAAACAGGGAGCTAACAACCTAACTATACCACCGTTTAGCAGACAGGTGAAGAAGTGGATTCAATCCACACAGTGCCTTCAGGTGATGCTAAAGGTAACAGCAAAACCATTGTGCAAAGCCAGCAAATAAGAGTTTTGACCCAAGCAAACTTTTCAAGGATGAGCAAAAGTGATTATTCTTTTTTCCTAAATGCTCTAAGGAAATTTCGCCACGTTGAATAACGGAATCACATACGTCGAACACCATTTTCCTCACATTAATAAATCAAACCATATTAAGAGGGTGAAACAAAAGTGCTGGCCGTGCAAAGTTGTTTTGTCCTCAATTCGCAACTAGTAATGAAATATTACACTTTGCAGTGGGGTGACGCGATGATAATAAACAAGTTGATGAGCTCTGCAAATATAACTGACCCACCTCATAAGCGTCGTTACGAAAACAATAGGTTAAAGTAAGCAAAGGCTTGCGTCCCCTCGGATCGCTCACGAAGTTCATTTACGCTTTATAGGTGTCCAGGTTCGTAGTCGCGTGGTTTAGAGCCTGTTCACCGCAGCTACCTAACTCTGCCTTTTAAGAATCCCGTAGTACATCTTGGAATGTCGGTTGTACTTTGGGTTAGTAATATTCATACTCTCATTACTGATAAGGCAAGCAGGGTATGCAACTCATAGGTGACTAGGATCACATAGGCACGGCCACAGTGGGTGATCAGCTCGACTCACCTCATCCAATTCAAGGGGTTCGCACATATCCATCAGCCTCAAGCCGTCTTGTGTAAGGACTCGTGTGGCGGCATTAATTGTCTTTAAGGTCGTCTCAGCTGCTTTCGTCACCTCAGACCATTCACCACCTGCATTGGGTCTCAAGGTCACCCAGTGTGCGCACGTGCACCAATGTCGAGCGACACCTGCACAATCACATGTGCGGTGCCATGGTAAAGGAGTGAAAAGGCTTTGACCCCGGATGCTCTGATTAACCGAACGGAAGACTATGTGTCTGAGGGTCGCATGAACATCAAATGGAGAACAGAGACGATCGACATTCGATTGGAGAGTGGAGACAGCTTCAGGCCATTCCAACGCAAATTTTCGGGGAACAATAATGGCCAGCATAGGTAGACGTTCTTCCAACTTCCCCTGTGGCAAAACTTTACAAAGTTAATATAAAACTTACTTTAAAATTAGGTTTTGAAAAAAGGTAAGTAGATGTATACACAAAGTTCCTATTCAGGTGAGTAATCAAAGAAATGTGATGTTACAGGAAGTTTGTGCTAGCTTTCAAAGCATCACTGCTAAAAAGGTAAATCAAAGAATTGTCAGTTCCATACAATAGCAGATAAGCATACAAAATCCGAATTCAGCCATGAATACCTTTCTTCACCATGGTTTTATTCCTTGTAACTTTCGCCTTTAGAAGCCCACCGGTTGCCAAGTGGTCCTGTAGGTATTCAACCTCCAATTCATAATTAAACAAGGCGTGATTCTCCTAATGGAAAGCTGTTACCGCCTCCTGTAGACAATTTTAATTTTTACAAAGGCTCACTACAGCCCGGATAAGCGATGCTGGTCAAACTCAAAAGAAACAGCCATTTTATTTTACAACTTTGCAGCCAAAATAATCAAATTATAATGCTAGAGTGTGTTACGATTTTGAAGAAAACTGAGTTAGATGAGTCTTGTTTCCTTTGAGACGCATTCACTTGCTCCTCTGAAGCAAAACCTTTCGTGATAGGACTCACATTGCCCAACAGAACCAGATCATCTCTTCTGACCTTAACTTAGCTTGACACCTCAGGAATAGAAACACCAACCTGTAAGGACAATCTGGCGTTTCCCATTCTAGGTCCATGATCGGAGAAAAGAATCACAAGGGTATTGAAAAAAGGTCCCCAACCTTGTTCATCCTCCATATCAATTTGCTCCAACAGCTTTTCTACGTCATCATCCAACAGTTGCGCTTTTGATGCATCCTCGTGGATCATCTCGGAGAGGAAAGTAAGCGAGAAACGCGGTCGATGGGAATTGGTGTAAAAAAATTCTCGGAGGGACTCAAGTAGCACCATGTGTGTTGGCCTACAGCACAAAAAGTGGATAACTTCATGCGTACTCATTCTTCCCCCAGTAGTAACATCAGCTACAAAGCCTGAAGTTATTATATTAAAAATGTTCTAGCAATATTATGCGTTTTTTATTAAAAATGGTGTAGATGGGAGGAAGTGAACTTGTCCACTGTGTTTAAATGTCCACATAGTTAATTCCATTCAGCAACTCAACTGCGGTTTCTGGTTTTGAAGCTAGCGTAGTGATCCCGATGCATCTGTGATTGCGAAAAGGGGAAGAACTGTCTTTATGCCCTACAGTGGGTACTGTTTCAAGACAATGAGCTTTCAGAGCAGCAATGTACGTCGAGTCCTAGTCGGGTTAAAAGAGAAGACATCGTTAGTAGTGTCGTAGTATTAAAGGGATAGGAAAGTAAGCTTTCATAGCTCTTTGTCCATATCAATAGCTAGAAGATCCAACAAGGCTTGCAGCTCCGCCTATATGTAAGACTTCGCATCCAGAAACCAAGATCTCATTAAAGTTACTTTTATTTTACAAGTGCCTTACTTATCTCGCATCTGGCGATACCACTGCTGAAGTCAAAGGCAAAAGTTCTTGCTTATGGAAGTAAGAAGGAGCTGTAGACGGCAAAGAGTGGATAAGCCAGTGTTGCCCTCTCCTCTTCTATCCTTCCGAACTCTCAAACATGAGATTAGAATTCATCCTTTGGAATTTTCTATCACCTATTGCCAGTTTGTTCAACATACATTTTCTCTTTTAACGTCCAGGTGGGAACACTCCACTGTCCCTTCCAACAACATAACTACTTTTAACACAAGCAGCGTTAGATTCTTTCCAAATAGTGATGTCACCGAGTCCACTCTCAGTGATCTGCCACTGCAGCCACTTTGTTTATTTAAGCCAACCATTGTGGTATATTCTGTTATCGCATGTTTCGTCACTACCAGTAAATAAGAAGTTATAAAACCTTTCCGAAAATCTAACTAGCTACAATGGCATCAAGCTCATAGTGGCAGGAAGGCAGTACAGAATGCAATAAATCATGCCATCAGGCTGACGCATTTTACAATCACCCACGCAGTGTGACCGCGTCAAATTGTACAGGAAATAGCACACTGTTTTTGGGCCTTTTTAAGTGCATTTTCAAAACACATTGATGACGTTGTTGCTCTAACATGTCATCAAGTAGATAGGATTTCCGACACTCCTAAGGTTGCCCACAAAACACAGAAACTTATCAATGGAGCGTCGTAACTAGTAAAAAAACGTAACGTCTAATCGCTTTAGGTGGCTGTTAAAAATGTAGGTGAAACTCATACATAGAATTCATCAGTTAAAATACTGCAAGCAGTTAGCTTTAGCACCGCTCACTAAAATTTACGAAGTTGACTGGAAAAAAGTACTCTCAAACAGTACCCATTAATGCCTGCACCTACGTGGAAGCTGTACATCCGGGTTTCTTCCCATATCGTGCCTCATCCTGAGCTGCAGCTATCATACATGGTCTGCCATAACTATCGACCGGTGGCTCAAGGTTTCCGAATCCCTGAAGTCGATACTGAAAGGTGCCCCAGTTTGGCGTATCCTCAATGAAATGTGTCGCATAACCGGCTTCCGCCTTGAATTCTTTCCATATCCACGGAAACTCATCCAAAGGTGTCTTGTCGCCACCTTTGTATTCCTTATCTCCGGATATCTGCGTTTCCATCAAACCGCCACGACCGCTTAGAAGTCGTGAAGCAAACCGTCTACTTTCTGGTAATTCCCGTTCAAATAAACCCACCAGCATGGCTAATAGATTACTAGTAGTTCCATCTCCGATTATATGATATTTCTGGAACATGGCTCCACGTGATTGAGAGAGAGAGGTCAATCTTCTCACTGTTTTTGGCATATATCGAAGCCAAGCTAGTCGAGATAACGAATCCATACCAAGGAGAAGGACATTTACAGTTGTAGAGTTTGTTTCAACAGTTGAATTCATTATGCGGCTACTTCCACACAAATAGAAACGCCGCTGAGTAAGCAGAAGATCTGCATTCCAAGCAGTGTAGTTAAATCGCGGTTGGCAAAGTAGCATGACCTGTGGATGTGGTAGGATTTGGCCCGATTTTACATCAACCAGTGGATCCCCATACACAGAACGATATTCATCTAATCGATGTATTGGAAGAGCATCGCACTTAAACTGACCCGACTGAGGAGAGGTTCTGAGGACTCCATGCTCTACCCATGCACGTTTCGGCAAGACACTGTCGCTATCAATAACCTTGCGCGGTTTTTCAATAGTAAATCGAAGCCCATTTGCGGTACAATCCAACCAGTTTCGTGATTGTTCAATGGATTGATTTAAGTCTGCAGGCCAAAGTTCTAAAGGCGGTATATCACAGTCTTCCTCAATTGGTAAAGACGATTCAAAATAACTCAAGGAGGCACTATCACGTTTGAAATATGCAAAAAGAAGCACTAGAAGGGGTATGATGAGAGCGGTAAGGAGAATGCGTCTTCTCGTGCGCACCAGCATGGAGAATGACCACCACTGACTGAACTGCCAGCTGTTGCCCATACAAAAACGCAAGCCAATAAAAATCTGGCCTTGAGAGACCAATGCTATTTGCGGAAAGTAATCAGTGCCATTTGGCCAATAAGAGGCATAGGAGCACCTACCAATGGAATGGAAGATCAATTATTCATTCATTGGAAGCCTTTCGATGACTGAGTAACGACTTTTGCTAAGTACTTATATTTCAGCAAAAGTCACGAAACTGTGTTGCTGATGTTTAATTAAATTAAGGTCTAATTAAGTTTAATAACTGCTAGCGGGCGGGATGATCCAGAGATATTAACACCAGAAGCATTAAAACGCCTGTTA